CGTATGCCTCGATATTACCTTAATTCACAAGCTATTTGTCTGTAATAGTCTGTAATAGTTCATATTTCAACATCCCAGTCCTAAGGTATGTAATATCATTTACAATCTAATCTATTTAAAAGAGTAAGCTGTTGTCTTAACAAATAAACTTACTCAGGTATAGATTTGATTATCATGGTCATTCTTTATCTGTTATGATGGAGCTGTGTTTTAAAAAATTCGTACTCAAGTTTTTCCGTCACTCTCTGTGTTCTGTAAGAACTACATGACTACTCTGATCGAAGTAAATGAGTCAAGGTTCGAAAATATGGGTGTGATTATCGTAAGAAAAAGGATTAAGCTGAGTTTAGACCATTGATCTTTAACGTCTTTTTTCTGTAGCAATTTTGCAACGAAGTCAGGAGAACGGCAATCGGTTTAACCTTCTCCAACCAACGCACACAATGTTGAATTAAAAAGTCTTTAGTGATTAATAGACACTAGGTCTCATCATTGTTTTAAAATACAAGCTCCAGTCACTCAATCTGAAGATCCTGCTTTTAGTCTTTTGTAGGGAGGTAGTACGTGATCACTATCAATAAATCCCTGTTGGGAAGAAATAATTGTCAGTATCCCTTGGTTTGTAATGATTGTTTGACTAAAGCCAATCCAACAAACAATCTCCACAGATCTCTTGCACTAATGATCTTGAAATATTGAACTATTATGCAACACACGAGTTTTTTTTCTTAAAGCAAGTTTTGTAAGAAAGGTTACACATATACACATGCCTGCTTTAAATTCCACTAGTTTACATTGAATTTATATTTTATCCTTCTATTGTATTAAAAACTGTAAAGATTTATCCTTCGCATTAGCTCCTTTTTCATATGTTCACTGGTTTCTTTATTACACATAACTTACCCTGAATAAACATTGATTATAGTAGAAGTAGAAGTCAATTTTTAGGTGATTCTTTGTATTCTTTTTTTTGCAAGCGTGGAATCATACTTTAATTATTTTATCATCAAAGTAAGCCTTATAACGTATGAAGACTGAAGAAATGACAACTCTTGAATCTATTTATTGAGCTATTATTATTTGTACTCTTGTTTCATAATCACTAGGTAACTGGACTATTATGTTTTCATCTTCCGTTTATTGTAAACTCTTGTTTGAACTATTAATGGTCGTCATATTATTCTGAAATTATTCCTAATCGGGTAGTTATCACTTGGCTGATTCATTGGTATTTTTTGATATATTCCGGTATATCTGTAAAGAAGCCCACCTGTGCTTAGAATAATAATAATAATAATAATAGATGCTGAAGCACTATCTCTAGGATTTATTCACAAATTAAGATATCAAATTTGAATGTTACACAATGAATTTCTCCGAGTTTCTAAAGATTTCAAAGAATCTGAACCACACTTTGTTCCATATTCTCTTGATATTCATGGAAGCTTACCATTACCATCAGATGTAACTAATAAATATACTATCTGATAAAAGCTTAAATGATTTATTTTCGTATAAATTACAAAGTTAAAGATGTATATATGATGGTAATTCGTTGTTTGTTAACTCACCGTCATCCAATATAAAACTGGTGTGTTCTTTTTTGATATGATGGTGTTATTAATTGGTGTCATTACATGATGAGTCCCATATATATTGGAATGAAACAGCTGTACACTATACTCCCCGGATTTCTATGACACCATCTTAACTTTGATTAGTCCATGATGAGATACACATCTACAAAGAATGTAAATAATATTTATAGCTTGAACGGTTGAGTCGAAACGTATTAAAGCTGATACTATGACAGTCAGTCGACTGACTTTCTGCATTATCATACAACATATAGATTGTAGACGATAATCAATACTTATCATTCCCATTTTATTTGCATGCATGAATGAGTTTATATATATATGATCTATTATAATTAAACATTCCCTGGATTAATCACGTTAGTTAAATCACTCCACTTATACTACTATTACCACTGCTATCTATACTACTTATTTACTTTGCTTGATTAAACGTTTATTTCTCATTTTCTATGTTGTATATTTACTGATAGTGATTCATGTAGACCATCTCATTAGTATTCATCTTTCTCCACTGATTTATCGATATATCCTGTGATTTTATATTTTCTATCTTCATTTAACGTACATAAACACAAATGCATAGTTTAATTTAGTTATATTGCATTACATGTAAAAATACGGTAAAATTCTGATTTAGTCATATGTTCTCTCTTCATGTGTGTATACACTACAGTTCACTGATATATCAGTACTTAAAGTTTATTTAAATTATTATCTCTTGTGATGATGATACCATTAAATTATTTATTTAAACGCATAAACATTGATACAAGGAGGCACCAAGTAGATATACGCCACACGATGAACTTGATTTGTGTATGGTCTGTGATACTGTCCGAACTGAAATAGGTTGTTTTCTTAAGGGGTCACACCCAGAGCACTAGACCTAAAGATCTGATCCAAAAGGCGGTGGAGCAACGTCAGGTGACGCAGTTTCCATGGTGATCGGTGACCAACAATAGTTTCATACGCTATTGTTCCTTCAGGATATTGGAGCCCATCTGTACCATTGGTTTGGAATGATGGCTTTCCAACTTCCCCTATGTGGACTCTCCGTATCCACCAACCCCGTTAAAGCTCCAGAGATTCGGTTTTCGTGCTCTTAATTCCGTAAACAACATCCGTGGTGCGAGAAGGTAGTGAGTAGGACTTCTGTGGTAGTGACTGTATGCACGTGACCATGTGAGAGCGTTAGGAGGGGGAGAACTGACTTTCCCCACTCGGCTGTACCAGGGCATTTGACAGCATATCATTAAGTTAGTGAGATGTGGACTTTGTCTAGATTCAATTACAAGTATAATTGATGTAAACACACCTAGTTCTGTATGTCAATGTTTAAACAGTGTGTATCAGTAATGCTTACTCCACTCAATACAATTAAACGAAGTTGGGGACATTTAATCATTGTTTTCTAACTTATTGATTTAAAGACAGTTTACTCATCATGAAACATCAATGTTTTGTGGCTTTCGTTGAATGAGTTTATTACAACTAGCTTTGGGTGTGATATAAATAACGTAGTCAATCGAAACTAAATAACCAACCCTTGTTATCAGCAGTTGTTGTCTCAAGCAATATGTTTTTCTGTGTGCGTCTGCGTGTGTGGGAATACTGATTTCGATGACTTGTTGAATAATAATAATACAATTAGATCATCGTACGTCTAAATTTAACTTATTTTTCTAAGTACAAATTTTGAACCAGGCTCTCGGTAAGAGAGAGAGAAATAGTAGTGCTATTCAAATTTTCTTCAGATTAAAATAGTCGGAAATGTGTTCGAACCTATGGTTTACTGACTGAAAGTCGATTACTTTCACATCTAGGCCAGTGCTACTAATTTTGCATCTTTAGAATTCTATATTCTATTATATCTAATTATATCGTATTTGTTTTCTTTTGACTATATTCGATCAACAGTGTACTAGATTTTTTCAAAAGTCTTTCTCATACTTTCTAGAAATAAATGACCTGATTAGATACATTAATAAATTAGTGCTACAATTCTTCAATTATACATCATAGTTACTAATGCTGTGTTGGTTAATGTTTATGTGTAGTTGCACATAACTGATTTTTTTGCATAGTTTCTAGTATCTGTTTGTGTAACTCAGTTATGGTGTGCTGTTTGGTTGATTATAATAATATTTTTCATGTCAACTAATTAACTATAATACTATTTTTGTCTATCACTCTAACATCGTAGTTTCGCATAATTCTAGTTGTGTTTCATTCTTTTCATCTCGTTAAGACGTATATATTTGTGTGATTTTTTTTTATACACTGCATTCCCTCCTCTTTAGTTTATGTAAAGAAGTTGCTGTGGCTATCTAATTACTGTTTTTTTTTCTATGTTTCATTTAACCTAATCAACACATGCAAGACATATATATGCGTGTTTTGCTTGATGTTTTATTAAACTACTGTAAGCAAATATAAGCAGTATAAAATGTTTGTGCGAATTAAACATAAAGCGACTCGTGCAGTCAGTCAGTCAGTTTCATGTGCTGTCACGGGTATGAGGGCTGATATCACTTCCCGGCTGCCCACATCGTGGAAGGGTAATTTTTGAGAAACCTGAAAAGGTCTTAACGACCTGGGAGAGTGACCGCAGAGGCCAAGGGACAACTGCTTGAGGCCGGTCGCGCACGGCCTTTTTGTGGAAGGTTTTTAATGTGTTAGCTCCGTTCTTCAAAGGGCCATACCGCTGGAGACGGAAACCCGTGAGGTAAGATGAGGTGTGACATTTTTAGGGTCGGGCTTTTCTAACCGCTTCCTTTTTTGTGGGAAGGCAGCATCGCTGTAGATGCTAGTTGTCTGAGGGAAACACCTTTCTGCTGTCACACCTCTCTATAGTCAGCAGTATGACTTCGCCCTCAGAACTTGAGTTGCTGCTTTTAGTCTTACCGTTCTCCAATCGACCTACCTGGCATGGTAGAACCTACAGGAACATATGTTCCAACCAATATAGCTCGGTTGGGTCATCACGATAGGCAAGCCCGACCACCGCGTCAAGGTAGCAGCTTCGGTCGGGAACGACTCGTGCACCTTGCTTTCGAAACACACCTTTCGTATATTTGAGAGCTAGGATGTATATACTACTGACCGAGTATAACCAAGCACAATTGATTTGGTGTCATCGATCTAGTAGCCGTAACTACTGAGTCTTCATTATTATAAAACAAACAGAGTTGACGATTAATTACAATGGTATTTCATTTAAATCTTGAACCGATCACTGTTAGACCGTTATATTTATTGGCCTAAACAATTTCAAGATCATGATTATAACTGGAAAAAAAATAATTTGGTTATTTTTGCGCATATTTTACTTACATGCGTGGAATTTTCACCTTTTCTTTATCATCTTCACTTCTTGTTCTGTTATCCCTATTTTTTTAGATCCAGAGGAAATAGACATCGAGTCTCAGCTAGATCAACCACCAATTCTAAGAAATCGAAAGCAAAATACTAGTTTCCGTCATGCCGTAGATCGTTCATTTTACCCTACTTCTACTAACACTACTACTTCATACCGTAATTCATTTGATACAAATGCTTCCCCATCATCTTCTGCTCCCCCCATACCACCACATCGTCCGCGTAGTGAAAGCGGCACTCGTGACAAGTTGTCTAATAATTCTCAGCATAAAGATTCCAGTAAAACAAAAAACTCCAATCCCTTACCTGAAAAATCCACAGATTCTATTTTATTCTCTTCTCCTCCTTCAGTCTACAAAACAATTGATAAACTTGAACGTGCTCATTCGAAATCTCGTCCAGAAATTCATTCAAATAATTCTGTCTTTGTCAAAGATTCAAAGTCATCGTCACATTCCATTTCAAATAATAATCTCCCTACTGAACAAAAGCCCAGTAAAAGTGGTCGAATAAGTCTGAAAAATCTCTTCAGGTAAGTGACCAACAAATATTCTCCTTGTTCAGCCATTTTATCGTTTTTTATCAACTAACTAATGCTTAGTAGAAAGTCATTTATCGGATCGTAGAAACCTTCGAAACATTGTTCGTGTATAGTGAGACCATCAAGTGGACAATTCTGAAGTTTTAAGCGCAGTGTACTAAGTAAGGAAAATAAATTAGTTGATCTCTTCTCATCAGATGCCTTTATGACAGGAAAAATAGATCTATATCCTTCCTTCTAGGGGTAAACAGTGAGCACTGCGTCAATCTGGTGAATACTTTCTCCGATATACACGACGTGCAGAATAATTTAACTGAAGATACAAGGTTCTGCCTTCTCGTGATCAACTTGAAGAAACCTGAAGTATTTTGTATTTATGTAAGAGGTTTATTCAGTTGCCCTAATACGATCTATAAATAGACTCTTGTGACATTACTAGCCTTTATTGATTGTTTCAGCTACATATTACAAACTCCACTTTCAACCTTCTATTTATCACCGTCCAATTCCCATCAACTTCTTTTAAAATTCATATAATATTTTTAAGGTTGACATAAAGTTATCTTTTCTTCGACCTTTAAACTTTACTAGTAGCATATTTTGTAAGATCTCATTTCATGATCTGATATGTGGCCAGTGAATGTATGATGTGATTGACCAGTTGAGTGAACTTAGGTAGCCAGATACTCAACTTACTTCCTAGTAGATATGTGATTTTCTTTCTATTATTGATTTCTACTCTGAACTTCCTGGGTGTAGACTGCTTCCAATTGTGTCACATAAAGCTGTGTCTAGCCCTTACCCTGGTTTACTGATTTTTGGCCATGAATCGGATATCTGGTACAAATGGATCCCAGTTTTATGTATAACATATCAATAGAGTATGTAGTCTGGTGGTATTCTCGGCCCTCAGATGTCCCGGTACGGCCAAGAGTGGGGAGAGTCAGCTCTCCTTCTCGAAAGGCTCTCACATGACTACACGTATACAGCAACTGCAACATAAGTCCTACTCACTGCCTTCTCGCACCACAGATGTTGTTTACGAAATTGAGAGGTCGAAAATCGAATGTCCGTAGCTTAAGCCAGGTTGGTGGATACGGAAGATCCACCCAGGGACGTTGGAAAACCATCATTCCAAACCAATGGTGCACATGGGCTCCAGTATCCTGAGGGAACAGATGGTGTATGAACATATTGTTGGTCACTGACGGCCAAGGGACTACATCTCCTAACGTTGCTTCGCTGCCTTATTGATTAGACCTTTAAATCAAAGGCTTGGGTAATGTCTCTCTAAGAAAACCACCTAATTGCTTTTCGGGTGATTGGACAGTGTTCTAGCCCTAAGACAAAGTGGATGATTTGTGTAATGCACATATATTTTGGTGCCTCCTTGTACAAATGTTTGTGTTTAAAGAAAAAAAATTATTTGTCACCACTTATTTTTTAGGACTTAATTGAGAAAAATCTAGTTTCAAATTAATTAATTGTACTTACTTACTTACGTCTGTTATTCCTCGTGGACGAGTATAGGCTGTCCACTAGCACTCGCCATCCAATCCTTTCCTGAACAATCCTTTCCAGCTCTTTCCAGTTATTATTCATCCTTTTCATATCTACTTCTATTTCCCGACGTAATCTGTTCCTTGACCTTCCTCTTTTCCGCTTCCCTTCAGGATTCCAAGTTAGGACTTGCCTCGTGATGTAGTTTGATAGTTTCCTAAATGTATGTCTTATCCATTCCCATCGTCTTTTCCTAATTTCCTCTTTAGCTGGAAGCTGCTTCATTCTCTCCCATAGTAGGTTGTTAGTGGTGGTATCAGGTCAACGGACATTGAGTATCTTGTGTAGACAATTGTTTTGTACCTTCTTGATGATGATTGTAGTAGTTCTCCAAGTTTCAGCTCCGTAAAGTAGAATTGTTTTGACGTTCATATTGAAGATTGTAACTTTAATATTAGCTGACAAACAGTTGTTTTGAGTTTCATATGTTCTTCAATTGTAGCTTATCAACCATCCATGAATAGAAATTGTTTGATTTTTCTTTTTCATATTGTATTTTGTAATTTGATAGAATTGGTCATTCTAAAACTGAATCCGAATTGAATGGTGAATATTTATTACATAATTCTAATCAATCTAAACCACTATCAGAGACATCAACTATTCTATCTAAAAAACAATTACGACGCCTTTCAGTTCCAGAATATCAATTTACTAGTAATCTTTTAACATCAATAAAATTAATAGATAAAATTCATGAAAAAAACAATTATAATAATCCTACTTCTATCACTACTATTCCATCTGTTCAGCAAATCTTTAATCATTCATCTAGTCAGTCAAAATTATCTAACACTACTCATTATATGGATTCTAATATAATTTGTAATGATTCTATGTACAAAACAATGTCACCGAATATAATGTATAATAATAATCATAATAATTACAAGACTATCTCTGTAAATCATCCATACTGTCCTCCACCTGATACTACTCCACCTCCGCTACCACCTCGTGTCAGTTATACAACACCACCTATATTAACAACGAAATCGAATCATTCCAAAATGATTAAATATCGTCCATTGCCAGAAGAGCGATCTAATAATTATCCTCAAATGATTGATGTGACAAAACAGAATAGACGCAAAAAATCATCAATGACCACATCTGTTGTCGCATCCCATTCAACTACTCATCAATCAAAATCATCTCCAAAAATCACTTCAACAACTTCATCTTCGGCTTATTGCTTAGCATTGAACACTGTTGATCCAACCGTATTATCATCAAGTATTAAAAAATCGAATTTTGATCATGACGACAATAACGCATTAGTAACTAACGACAATTCTCGTAGTCGTCGTCGCCGTCATCATCATCATTATGAACATCATAAAAATTCTAACCAACAGGATGGTATTCTCTCCGAAAGTTCCACTAAATCCCAGGTTTGTAAAAAAAACGTTTTTTTTTTAGAAAATGAAATTCGTAAAAGTTTATCTTCGAATTGAGGAAGATTTTTAAATCCTCATGAAAATTACTTCAATCACGTATTGATATCATCATCACATCTTTGATGAAGTCGTGGATATTAATATTTTTTTGGAGTTGATTATAAACGAAATGATATCAATTTCTTTAAATGCATGAGAGGAATTATCACTTTTCAGTGACCCACATGGTAGGAAGACACTTCTTCTTGAAGTCCATGTATAGAAAATTTTGGTAGGGGTAGGTGATTTCAATGACTTGGGATTGTAACTTTAATGCTCATAGGACAACTGTTAGAGGACATTCACATACGCCTTTAAATTTATCAGCACTGTGCTTTCCAAATCTAATGATTTGCAATAGGAATGTGTGGAGCAAGATGAAGAGTATTGTTTTTAAGCTCGACCTTTTCCAATCCCTTTTTTCCTTTGTGTAAAACATGTCACTGGCGTCACACCCTTATCCGTTTGGGAGCTCGACCTCGTCTTCAGACTATGAGTTAGTTGGTTTTAAACCTTACCACGCTATCCAACCAACTTGCTGGGATGATATATCCTAACAAAACAAATGTTTCAACCAATGTGGGTCATTACAATAAACAAACTCGATCACATTATCAAGATAACAACTACAGTTGGGTTGAGTAGTTCCAAACTATGATGTAACATCTCTTCAGCAATGGTCCTATAATGAAAACTGTTTCCAAAAAGCTATGATTAGATACTATAAATACTTTCCGTAACCAGAATTACCTGATTAATTGTATTCAGAGACTTAATATGATATACTCTCACTATTGAATTGTGTAACATTCTAATTCTTTTAATATCACTGATTATCCCAGTTATCATTATTTAGATTGTTCTTTTTGAATTTCAAATGAATCTTTGCAACAAAACAATATAAAGATGTTTCAGTCAAGAACAGATTTTTCTTTCGATGACATCATTTACTTGTAGATTCGTATTATCTCCGTTAATGATGCTATAATTCTCTATTATTATCATCATCGACTAGTATATTTAAAAATACAAATGTATAGCTATACTAGATGATTGTCATCACTGAAGTGCCTCTGATCACACAGGACTATGTACAACATAAGTAGCCTGCTTTTTTTTTCTGGGATAACAGGATAGTTCCTGACGGTCATCCTGGTCGGCATATATCAATAGTGTACACTTTGGTTTTTAGAAAAAGAAAATTTACATTTTTGACAAACAAACTTAACTTGTTACTAATATAGAAATGTAATATCATAACTGTAACATTCATAAATCGAAATTTCTTGCCTGTATTTTCTATAATATTTCAGATACCTGCTATTTACATAAATTCTAAGCAGATAAGTAAAGATTATAAAAAATCTACTCCATCTCCTCATCGTTCACGTTCAACACATGCTCGTCTACCATTGAATAAAAGTCAACATAATAATCATGATAATATAACAACAACAACAACAACAAACACAGTAGCAACAATAATGTCAACAACGAATTCACCTGAATCTATTCACCATTATCAAGCACCAGTAATTTCTAATCATTCAGCTATGTCAACTCCTCGTCGTCATCGTCGTTTACAAGATGGTCGAAAATCAGAATATCATATAAATAATAGGTAATGCGAATATAAATTATAATGAGTCAGTTATATAGATTTTACTAAAACAACCATTAAAAGCTTTGAAGCACTGAACAACAGTTCCATTTTATTATATGGACTCTTCAGCAGCAGTGCACATCCAGGACCAAATTTGAGATCGTATCCAGGTTTATCGACAAATGCTTAACGATTGCTGTCGTATATTTGAGATTTGCCTAATAGTGAATAGATCATCTCACTCATGCTTCACGTTGACAACTTCAATTTTGTGCATGTTTGCTATCTGTTTTAAATTGTATTCTCTTTCTAAATAATGGATTCCAACCGTTTAAACTATAAACCAATGTAGGTGAAATAAGTAAATACATATTGACTGAAAATGTTTGAAACTGATTGATCACTGAGTAGTAGGTGAGTAATGCTGTTCTTCCTTAGTCGTTATTGTGTGCGCTTCGGTTTATTGCATCGATCAATTACGCAATATGTGACCACTAAACTTAAAAGTCTCATCGTCACCTATATTCTGTTTTGATGTAAAGTATATGAAGGGAATTGACAGGAAGTTGTGACTATATCTCCTAGATTTTGTATAAGTTGGGACAAGACAAATTACAGTTGTTAGGTCACTGAGATTGTGTTAGATTCGTCTTAGTTGATTTATATTGAATACTGTGTATGTTGGTGTGTCGATTATTATATTAGTTGTTAAGGTGAGAAAAGTTGTTTGATGAACTTCCCACTGTGCTGATGTAGTTCAGCGACCGACACACATATGTATCAGGTTGTATGTTGCTTGCTTATCATTGAATGGATGAATTACGTATAAGGATTAGTTTATCGTGTTTATCTATGTGAGTGTGTGAAGCTGAACAGTCATCCAGTGTTCCCTAGATGTTTGGTTAGTACATTTTTTTAATAGTAGAGATCGTGAGTCAATTGAAGTTAGATGATAATGGAAAGCCTGGAAGCACTGGATGGCCGTCTCGTCCTATTTTGGGACTCTTCAGCAGTGCACATCCACGATCCCACCTCGCGATATTCGAACCCAGGACTTATAGGTCTCGCCCGCGAGCACTTAATCTCTAAACTACTGGGTCGGCGTCCAACGGTGTTAATGCTTGTGTTCTGTCTTGTGGGGGACCGTAGATTGAAGTGTTTGATCGCGCATGCCACTTCAATTATCTTGGAATCCTAATGGGTTGGTTCTTGATGTTTGACGTCTTCAAATAATTGCTAATTTTTCCTGGAACTATCGGGTAAAGTTTGTTAATCCTAAACGCAGGATGAGAAATTAATTGACACATATTGAATTTTCACCTATTACAGTGGTTCTGGTCCTCATTATGTATATTATACTTCTAAGCATATTTGCTGGTGTAAGATTATGTTGGAATAAAGTTAAGGGCGGCTAAATTAATATATAACATCAGTTTAGACCTGGACCGGGAATACGTAGTTAAGGTTGTAACCAACAGTCAATAAGTTCTACCTTGTTTAATATCGACTGACTGAGGCACTTTATTATCCAAGAATAGTATATATGTATATTAAAGAAATTTTCTATTCCATTTTCTATTTCTGTATAGAAAACAACAAATCACTATGCAAGAGGCATCATTAATTGTCTCATTTCCAATGGATAAATTAATTACTCCAAAACATTGATCAATACATCATCAACATTGATATGTTATCCACATTATCCAACATGAACTTACTTCATATTTCTTTTGTGCAACTATTATTTCCGGTTTTGTGAATTGTCAAGATATGATCTATCTATTTACTTACTTGAACAATACCCCTCCCACACACACACATCTTTTCCTACTAATTATTTTGATACGTTGACTATTTATAATTTTCTTTCAATAATACGGTTAGATTCAGTCTTAATTGTAAAACATACATATCAGCAACTAAAATCTCAAGAATTCATCAATTTTTTTTGTGTGTGTAGAATATGATACAATTTCGTTTCACTATTTGTTGTTTTGTGTGTGTGTGTGTGCGCTCTTCTTGGTCCTGATCTGAAAAAATGTGCCTTAAAGTTTTATAATTAAATTTGTGTTTATTTCGATAAGTGTTGTTGTTATGGTTCCTGTCGTTATAGCTAGTTAGTAGTGTATTATCACAATCAGCGATATCATTTCGTATATATTCTGTCTTATTTTTATAAGCATACAATTACATATCATTATCAACAAGACTATTTTACTTATGATTACCTCTTTATACTCTGTGGAAAAATATGGAATTTGAAATTGTCCATTGTATTTTCTAGTTCTACTCTCTCTCTCATCCTGTATTGGTTGGTTTGTGTTGTGTGTGTGTATGTGTGTAGTAAATTTCTGATCTCAAGTAACAAAATCATGCCTTTTATTCTGTTTTTCTCAAATGATAATAAAATGTGAAAACATTTTTGTATTTTGAATCATTGTTCCTTATACACAGACACACACACACACTCGCTCTCTCCCTCCTCTTCCTTTTAATATACATATACATATCATCATGAATATGTAATAAGAATAATAGTGTGTACAAAGTGTTTTTGTATGTGTACTTACTTTTGATACTTTACAATTTATCTGAACTTACTTTCACTATTTCTATCATGTTAAATTTTTACAACAACAACCAGGGTCATGTTTGAAGTGAACATTTCCTTTCAATTTAAAGTTTCCTAATATATCTTCACATTCACTATTATTGATCCATCATGTATTATGATCATCTCCTATTGTTGCCATGAGTATTAGATGATAGTGTTCAGTAATAGATGATATATATATATTCCATATCTTTAATATTTCACATTTTTGTTGTTGCCACTTGGTATCTATTATCAAATGGCTTCTGTATTGGTCAAACTATTTGAACTACTTCATAGCATTTATTTCCTTACTTTGAGTAATTATTGCATCGAGTTTCGTTAATGCTGAATACAAATAAATGAGGCATCTCTCCTCTGTCTCTCTCTCTATGTGTGTGCGTAATGTCTATTCGTCAATATTTCTTATTATTGTATATTGACAAATATCAATAGTCTATTCATAATTAGTAGTATATTGTCGAGTGTTTTAATTCTATTGATTCGATCATCATTATTTGTATTGGTTAAATGGTATGAAAAAATAACTTTGTGAATCTTTCTTTTTGTTTCTCTCTAAAATGTAAGTATCCGCCTTGTGATCGATCTCCCTGTTTTTTGTTCCATGAACCAAATCGATTCTTTCTTCTCCTATACATATTTATATGTATATGTACATTGATCCATTTGAATTGTTCTTTTGCCAGTTGGATCATATTTCTTTACTTTTTCTTCTGATTACTTTATTTGATTTGCTCTTTAATTGTTGAGTAATTTTTCTTTTGTGTATGCGTGTGTATGTGTGTAAGTATGTTACCTTGTCATTTTGCGGTCTTATTAATTTGTCTACCATTCGAAAAAAAATAATAATGAATAGTAATTGAATAAAAATGCTTTGAGTTCTTTCTATTTTTTGTTGTTGTTTTTTAGTGTTGAGAATATACAGTTGTCAATAGTTGGTTGTCAAAATATCTACGGTAACCGTCGTGTACTTCATCGATCCTTAATATAATTTTGGGAAGGTGCAATTTGTTAAATTGATCAAGTCAAAAGAGATAGCTAATATCGATTGTTGTTGATATTAGATTGTTTGAAGTTGTAAATATGAATCGATAATTACAAGTTATAGAATGTCATGTATTCACTTACCTGTAGAGTCATATATCAGAATAATCTCCTATTACAACAAAAAAGCTATTAAGTACTTTTATACTTAATTAATGAATCATATTTTCAAACGGTATGCGTTTGTAAAGGAAGATTTAATTCTGTTAAGAGAATTTAGGCTTAGGTTTCATATTGATCAGTAGAGTGTATTTGCGATATTGAGATTTGAACCCGTCACCCAAAACATTATCACTGAACTATTCGGGATGCGACTGACCTCTCATAGGACTGGTGATTATATGAATAAATACATATATGTATTGACTACTAATTAACCTAACTTATCAATGGATATTCGATCAATCAAAACTATTTATTTATTTGAAAACATAAATATTGGTACAAGAATGCGCCACATAAAACAATGAGAATTTAAGGGGAGAGAATAATAACGAAGAGATTGATGTAAGGTGGTGTAATAAAAATGGGGGAACGGAAAGGTACAACCAGAAGAAAATCTTCAGTTAAGGAAGATACAACCATTTTTCTTATGAAGAAAGTAAAAGAAAAGGTTACAGCAGGGTTGTCACTGGCTTCTATTCTGAGCCATATCTGATAACGTCTCTAGCCACTGTGTCGCACCATCTCTTGGATACCAACCAGGGAGTCTTGAAGAAACAACAGAAGCCAGCCCTTTGCAGCTTTCTTTCATACCACGACACCATGTCATACACTGACCACCTCTCCGCTTTTTCCAACCAGTCCCAGAGTCGGCAAATAATGCACGACGTGGAAATCTCTGGGACGGCATTCGTAGAGCATGTCCAAGCCACCGAAGTCGGTGTTCCAAGATGGTGACACCAACTGCATTATCGTCTCTGTCCTCGAACACACGATGCCGAACCTCTGCATTACTGACATGGTGTTGCCACTGGATGTCAGCAATCCTTCGGAGACAACGATGATCGAACACAGAGTGTGACTAATCAATGATTATCGTTTTTTTTTCAAATATCGAGTGTTAATTGTCTCATAGTTCACAAGAAGCTTGAATAAGTTCCCGAAGAATTGGGTTTTCTTTAACTGTTGACTAGTGTAAAAAAGTAAAGATGATAATTCAGCAATATAAAGTAATAAACGACCTTATCTTTGAATTCCTTCGAACTGAATTGACTAAAGAGTAATTAAATGTTTGAATTCTTCTAAAGTCTGTATTCATCGTTATTACTGTTACATATTTAAAGGTATCGATTCTCAATAAAGAATTTTAAGGCATCCTTTACATTTATGTTTCACTCAAACTACTAATAATAAAAATACCGACCATTATACTGGTTAATATCTTCATAAACTGGTTTTGATTTTACTTCAGAAGTTCATTTAGATGACCGTTAATATAGAGTTTTTGTTTCCATATTAAAAAAATTATCCAGAAGTTTACGACTTTACGGAAGAAAATAATTTCAAAGTGAATTAAATGAAGAATTTTTGTCATAAAGGAACATTGACCCTTCATATATACAAATTCAAAATAGTTGTACAATCGCTTAAGATTTAATAGATGAAGACTTTAAGAGTCCGCATCAGTCAGCCATAATCATTAAAGAACTTGGCATATATGTACATCCATTCAAGCCGGCATATCGTATCAACGTATAGGATGAAACTATCAAGATTAATGACAGTAGTAGTAGCAACATTATTGGTAAGAGTAAAAAAACAACAGGCATAAACGTGATGATTCTCGAATATATGAATTTATGGAATAAAAAAGTATTAGATCTAAGGGAAGAAAAAGGGTGGATGTGTTTCGGTCGATTTCGATCCACATCATCCAACGTTTGTAACACTGGTAACGATAATCGTGCAGTAGGCAACCGGTTAGTTTACAGCTACCTGGATGTCTCATTCTAAGAGTCAATGACTTCATGGACTGATGTTAAATTTTGGTAATAATTCCGAGTTCTATATTAAGACTCCATCTGATATAGAATATTCAACCTTCAGGGCTTTTGATGAATGTGTAACATTCAGACCACGCAGTTCGCATTATTTCGCAAGAGAAAAGTTTATTTCTAAGGACACATCGTGACTAGTAGAGTTTAATCATGTCTGACAAGTTGTATAATATGGCGAATCGATTGAAGCTAGAAACATAGTCTAAAGATTGGGAGCTCATCGTGTGATCCTGTCTTCGATCACCGATGGGGTTTTGGACGCCCACTGTTGAGTAAGCCTATACTAGGACAAAGCAGCTGTCTAGTTATTACTAATTTCGAATATTTGTATCATTAAGATCAGTGATCATGCACCAATCCAATCACACTTGACGGAGAAGTTTTGGAAGATGTAAAAACCTTTACATAATTGGGCAGCATCATTGGTGAACATGGTGGATGTGATGCAGATGTGAAAGCGCGTATCGATAAAACAAGAGCAGTGTATTTACAACTGAAGGACATCTGGAACGCAAAACAACTGTCTATCAACCAACACCAAAGTCACAATTTTCAATACAAATATCAAGACAGTTCTACTGTATGGGGCGGAAACTTGGAGAACTACGAAAGCCATCATCCACAAGATACAAGTGTTTATTAACAGTTGTCTACGCAAAATACATCAGATTCATTGGCCAAACACTATCAACAACAACCTACTGTGAGAGAGAACAAACCAGACCCAAGAAGAGTAAGAAATCAAGAAGAAGCGCTGGAAGTCGATAGAACCAACATTGAGGAAAGCACCCAACTATGTCATAAGGCAAGCCCTCACATGAAATCTTTAAGGCTAAAGGAGGAGAGGAATAACAAAGAGCACATTACACCAAGAAATGGAGACATATATGAGAAGAATGAACAAAAATTGGATAGAACTAGAAAAGAAGGGTCCAGGACAAAGTGGCTTGGAGAATGCTAGTCAGCAGCCTATGCTCCATTAGGAGTAACAGGCGTACATAAGATTAGTGATATAAACTAGAAAACTCAATCTTACAAACCCTCCATAATCATATTAATCAATATAACTCAATCTTGAGTCATACATAAACTCCATGAAGACCAATATGATGCATTATCCAACTATATTTTCGAATATATGAACAACAAGTACTCTTGTACATAATGTATTCCATAATAAAAGTAAACTAGAAATATGATTATAATCAATAAAAAATTGTATTAAAATAGACTAGAAATTAGTTTTAATGCCTTAATGATTAACAATTGTTCATTAGACATATTTTCACCATTTAATTGAATTAATTTTTTAAATACAAATTGATCTAATATAAAATCCCATGAATTTGTTCGACATTCTACACCATGAAGGTATATAGTTATCTCGGATAAAAAATTTTTCAATAAAAGATTTACATTATAATTATAAGAATGATCAAATTCAATAGATTGAAAAATTCCACCACGACTACAATTTATGATAATGGAACCAAATTGATTAGTAAGATAAGATAGATTAGGTTCATAATTTTCTAATGCTAATTGAAAACTTGGTGAATTACCATAAATCCATGACCATGTTTGTGATAATGTTAATATTTGTTGAAAATTTTTCATTGAATGGATAAATTGATCTTCTTGACCTTCTAATATATTGGTTACAACAGGATTAGATGTAATCAAATCATTCTATTGGAGGAAAAGTATTCAAATAAGAAAAAGAAGGAAAAAAACAATGCTCTTGTTCAAAACGTTTGTATACTACTGAATCAAATTAGAGTTAAGTAGCATTTTAACAAATAACAGAAAAGAAATATATATTTCGTTCTATATAAGAATTTCTAAATTGATTTGATTATTGAACATCGAATATTGAGTTGTCATGAGATTACTAAGTTAAGACAAAACCAAGAAAAGACTATCTCATCCATTATATTTTATACCGGATTTAGTATATTTCTGTGTTAAATAGTAATTACATTCGTTATGAAACTTCACTCTCTTTCAGTTGACCAGTGGTATCACTGAATACAGTATGGTTGTTACATGGGTGCACCGAAGTGTCACTTAGTAACCATGATTAACTAAAGACAATTCAATTGAGCAGTAGAGATAGATAGACAAACGAAAAGGTGAAACACTGCGAGTCAATTAGTGTTCTTTTTATACTTTAGAATGATACACAAGTCAAGATGCAAAAAAGAAACGTGTCAGAAAATACGCAATGAATAAAATAAGGCATAGTAGTAGAAGTAGCAAGGATTTCAATACTTAATGTAATACCCACAGAGAGTGTCATTATTATCCAGATTTTCCAGAGATCACTATTTACTTACATTATAATAATCTCAATTAAATAGCTTTATACTGATCAAGAAAACATTCAATGAGCACCCAAATGCCCTGGTACGGCCGAGAGTGGGGAGAGTCCGCTATCCCTCTCGAAATGCTCTCATATGGCCACGCGTATATAGCCTCTGCCAGGGAAGTCCTACTCACTGCCTTCTCTCAACAGGGGTGTTGTTTAAGAAAATGAGAGCACGAAAAGCGAATGTCCGGCGCTTTAACCGGATTCCAAACCAGTGGTGCACATGGGCTCAAGTATCCTGAAGGAACAAATGGTGTATGAACCAATCGTTGGTCACCGGCTTCCATGAGACTGCATCTCCTTACGATGCTCCACTGTCTTGTGGGTTAGACCTTCAGGTCGGAGGCTCGGGGAGTAGCCCCCTAAGAAAACCACCTGGTTCGGTTCGTACACCCGAACAGTATCACAGACCTCACACATATTGAATGAGATTTGTGTGGCGCATATGTATTTGGTGCCTCCTTGTACCAATATCTGTGTTAAAATAAAATAAATAAAAAATAATAACATTCAATGAACTAATGAGTTGACACCAAATACCACTCTGGTTATCAATATTTTATCATAAGACTCCGAAATGATCTACGTCAGACAACCATTGAAATGTGAAAGCGCTGTATGGTCTATTCGTCTTAATATAATACTCCTCAACAGTCTGTATCTGTGATTCTAAGACCTGTAATCAAACTCAGGACATTCGCTAACGTTTAACCTCTAGATGATTTAATAGTATACAAGTCTGACTTCAACTAATCCAACACCATTGGATGTCCGCTTAGAGGTCTAGAGGTTAAGCGTTTCGAGCGAGATACCGAAAGTTTTGGACTTGATTCTAAGTTACAGGGTCGTGAACAAGTAACACTGAGGAGTCCCACATTAAGACAAAACGGCCTTTCACGAATTCCAGGTTTTCAATAATGGTCTAACCTTGACCGGTTCGTAATTTCAATGAAAATCAATAACTATATCTAACAGACTCAGAGAAAAATTATGGTTCATAATCCACTTTATTGGGTTAAACGAATAATGAGGTTTACAAAATGGAAGTAATAACTAAAACTTGAAATACATGGACCAATGGAGTTCAACCGGGTCAGTTGTGAGGTAGTAACTCACTGATGACAATGGTGGATGTGTCGCTCAATTTCGTGGATTAGTTAAAGTTAGACATTAACACCGTTGGATGCCGGCCAGATTAGTGGTCTAGTTCGTTAAGCGCCTGGCGCGAGTCTGATAGGTCCTGGGTTCGAACACCGCGAGGCAGGGTTTTGGATGTGCACTGCTGAGGAGTCCCGCAACAGGAAGGAACGGCCGTCCAGTGCTTCCAGGTTATCCATGGTGGTCTAGCTTCAATTGACTCATGATCTCAATTGTTTAAATTACTACAATCTCCACAAAACCCCTTCTGATATATGGATGTATTTACTTGGAATTGATTACAGTGATCTACTATTGGTGAAAAAGTACTTTTTTGAGATGTATGGTTCACTTGTGTAGTTTTTAGTGTCTTTGTAAAGAATATTATTCAATTCTACCGTTTCATAAGTCAATCAATCAGTTAGTTATAAACACTGTAGAACCATACACAAACATGAATCGATTCAAATTGCTACAATATATCAATACAACAAGATGAAATTGTTAAGATAAGTACCAGAGTAGTAGTACTAGAAATACTACTGAAATAAGCGATAGTAAGAACTACTAGACAAAGGGATAATAATTAGCCTAAATCTATTTATCATCAAAGAAGATTAGGTTTTATTAAAAGTTAACTCAATATTTACTTTATTATTTTATTTAAACACATAAACATTGATACAAGGAGGCACCAAATACATATGCACCACACAATGAACTTGATTTGTGTATGGGTTGTGATACTACTCGGGTGCCCAGGTCGAATCAGGTGGTTTTACAGAGGGCCACAACCAGAACCTTCGATATAAAGATCTGATACACAAGGCAGTGGGTCAGTGTCACGAGATGCAGTCTCACAGTAGCCGATGACCAATAATTAATTCATACGCCATTCTTTCTCCCAGGATCTCGGATCCCATGTGTACCATTGGTTTGGAATCAGGGTTTTCCAACGCCGTTGGGTGGACCCTCTATATCCACCATCCGTGTTGAAGCGCCGGACATTCCCTTTTCATCCTCTCAATTTCGTAAACAACACCCACTTCGCGAGAAGGCAGTGAGTAGGACTTCTGTGACAGTGACTGTATACGCGTGACCATTTAAGAGCATCTCGAGAGGGAAAACTGACTTTCCCCACTCTCGACCGTACCAGGGCATTTGGGGTGGTAGTTAACTCAATATATAAGAAAAACAAATAGATACTTAAACACAATGAAAACATACATTTACAATTGAAAATTATAATTTAAAATATACAATAAAGGTAATTATTACTTTGGATATCCATTTTAAACCATCTTCAATGATTGAATTTAAAAGTAGTTCAATGTTTAAATTTAAATTTTTCACTGGACTTCGAATGCTATCAGTTGCTTTGGTTTTTAAATTTATCTGAGGACAAAACATAATATAAGAAAACATAAATAAGGACTTGACACACATGGCATTGATCACCACCCAGTGATCAATCAATTGTAAATACATCTCAGTCTTATAGGAGGTCAGTCACGGCTCGGATAGCTCAGTGGTAACGTCTCTGATAGTGAAGCTGGGTGACACGGGATCGAATCCATCAGGGAGCACCGTTTCCCTCAAGATTACAGGTACACCTTGCTGACGAGTGCCAAGTAGCACGAAACCCAGGTCCAGGGTTTCCTGTCGACTACCTCCAACCACCATCTTATCTCAATATATAGTGCCCGCAATGTCGAGTCACCTAGACTGGTGGCCCCATTGCAACATGATCGACAGCATTCGATCTGCACTAATAAGGACTAGACAAGCATGACATTGATCACCACTCAGTGATCAATCAATTTTGACAAAACACAAATACATTTACAAACAAATTTGATCATATTTATGATATTATTTTAAAACTGGAGGATCATAAAAAAGAATGAATAAAATTTCTATATTCAAGAAATGATGTATGTTGATATAAGTAGTATATCACACTAATAGGAAGTGAAAAACCTGACAACAGAAGGCTAAGAAAATTAGATTGAAGAAAATAGAAAGGAATTGCGAATTAGAAGAATCATAAAGAATTTGAAGGTCAATTGATAGAAGATTTGAAAATGAAGTATTCAATGTATGATTCTTATATTTTACTAAAGAGCTCGGTAATTTTGTATTAAACAACAGATTGGTTTCCGCTAACTGAATATTGTTCCCTATATATGATTGAAAATCTAGTTATTAGACAAGGGTGGACAAGTGAGATGTGGAATTTTGGGGATTTGGGATTATTATACATATTCGTGTTGTGGATAATTGCCCGCCCCCAATGCTCTGGGACGGCTGAGAGTGGGGAGAGTTAGCTCTCCCTCTACAAATGCTCTCACATGGCCACGCATATACAGCCACGGACACAAGTCTTACTCACTGCCTTCTCGCACCACGGGCGTTGTTTACGGAATTGAGAGGATGAAAACTGAATGTCCGGCCCCTTGGACCAAGTTTGTGGATACAGAGAATCCACCTAGGGGAGTTAGAAAACCCTCATTCCAACCCAATGATGCACACGGGTTTCAGTATATTGAGAGAACAAAGGGCATATGAACCGATTTTCGGTCACTGACTACCATGGGATTGCATCTTTTGAAGTTGCTCCACTTACCTTGTGGATTAGACCTTTAGGTCGAAGGCTCTGGGTGTGGACCTCTATAAAACCATCTGGTTCGGTCTGGGCACCCGAGCAGTATCACAGCCCATACACAAATTAAGTTCATTGTGTGGCGCATATGTATTCGGTGGCCCTTTGTACCAATATTTATGTGTTCAAATAAAATACTATTTATTAGGTATTGGGTTTGAGTTCTTTTATATAGCTTTATATTTTTATTCGTATCACTGACAGATGATAGGTCTTTATCTTTTCATGAATTACATTGAATTAGTTATTTATCACAAATTTGTGGTTTAGTGGCTTAGTTTGTTAAGTCGTTCGATCTTCAGCTACAAAATCTTAGGTTCAAACCCCTATCTATCTAATTTGGTTTTGACAACTGAGTAATATCATAACCTCTCATATTTATGGTTTAGCTCATATGTAAGTACGTAAATTATATAGTATGTTATTGCCACAAATGAAAATGTTAATGATACATTTTGTTAAATGAACTCTCGATTTGATTTCCTAACCTTTTCTAATAACCCCAAACTAAATCTACACAACAACTTGAACAAAAGAGAAAATGCGGGAACTGCGTAAACCTAAAACTGGTTGATAAAATTTATTTGACTTCCAAAATAAGTCGAAATGATTAAAGAATAAATCACATTTTATATGATTAACAGTCAAATTTGAATAAATCGGTCTGATTTGCGAGACTGATAGGTCCTAGGCCGGGTCATGGTCGAGCACTGCTGGGGAGTCTCATACGAGGACGAAATGGTCGTCCAGTGCTTCCAGGTTTTCCATGGTGGTTTAACTTCAATTGACTCATGAATTCAACTATTAAATAGTAATTCATTAAGTTACTGTGTGAAGACATAACTACAATTAAGCATCTATAATTCTCCTTAAAATGTGATGAATACATGTCATACACAATTGGGAAAAAAGATCAATTTCATATATCATTCACATTTCACTTGATTAAACTATTACTCACTATATCAGTTAGCTTACAACTCTGTAATGGCCACGGATATTATTATGGTAGTCGAGACCAAACGTATGCTAAACATTCAAAACCAAAATATCGACTGAGTACGTTGACAAGAGTGTGGGCGGCCAGTCTAGCTTTCGCCAAAGTTGACTGAAGTCGACGGTACCAAACGGGGATGGTCGGAGGCGTGGGCTCAGGATACAAAAAAAAGAAAGAAGTGTATAGCATGCACCTAGTATAGGAATAGTCCTATACCGTATCGGTTGTTGACTGTGCGGCTAGTCGCGGAAGCGTACGGGCAACCGGAACGTGAGACGGTAGTCTCGTTCGTATCGCATGAGACTGCAATCTTATCCGACGTCAAAGGCGGCGTGGTCTGCTGATTTGGATGTGAGACTGTCGTCTCATGGTGGCATTGGTCCTACAATGTCTAAGTGAACGTGATCGAAATGAGCATCAGGCGCACAGTGAATAACTGATACGGTATAGAACTATTCCTATACTAGGTCCATGCTACACACTTCTTTCTTTTTTTGTATCCTGAGCCCACGCCTCCGACCATCCCCGTTTGGTACCGTCGACTTCAGTCAACTTTGGCGAAAGCTAGACTGGCCGCCCACGCTCTTGTCAACGTACTCAGTCGATATTTTGGTTTTGAATGTTTAGCATACGTTTGGTCTCGAACTTGGTCGTTACTGTCGCTTTTGGTTCCTCGGCTCAACGTGGTTTCGTCCTACGTCTGCAGCGTCTTCTGGTCCGCATCCCTACAAACGCAATCTTGAGATTTTGGATACAAACCACTCTGATGTGGTATGCCAACTCAAGCAACAAATACAGCACACCGTTCCTGGTACCGTTCTCCGAAAAACATCTTCGTTGGCAACTCGATGATCAACGATCGCTTTCCTGTTCCGCCAATTCTTCTGTCCTACAATCGCTCGTCAGTCGATCAATCCCACGATTTAAACCGCTACTTATCGAAAGTGTAAACCCTTTCTAGCGGGGGGCTCCTGTAGTGACTCACATTTATCACGAGAACACGACTGGTTTAGTGAAAACAATTATTATTATAACCAATTGTACCTGTGCTTGTTTTAACGTGCTTTTGTTTAACTGAGCTAATAACAGACATTTTGTGCTTCCATTACTGTTTCGCGGTTCGTGACCTTCTTCGCACGTACCCTCTCATCCCACTCCGCTTGTACCTTTTCTTGGCACGACCTCGGTATTCGTTCAATACCACGAGATCGCCAACGAAATAAACTTGGTTCTAATCCGCATTCGCCTTCTGATTTATTTGGCACGTGTTTCTTTGTAGTGGTGTTCATAGTCAAGTGGGACTCGACACCACACTACAAAATCTAGAAGTTAAGTGTTTGTGCACGAAACCGAAGATCCTGGGTTCGATTTCAGCGTGCAGGGTTGTGGATGAGCACTATTAGAAAGTCTTATTGATTCCAGATTTTTAATGATGGTCTAACATTGATCAAATCATGCTTTCAATTAAGATACCAACTTACTTTTATAAACTTATCAAAGAAATAATATTAAAACCAGTATTGTCAAGATAATTCCAAAATTAATTGATTTGTTGTATTCTGTAGAATGCTATTAATAATAGTTTCTTTCTAATATAATACCATCACTTCGTTAATTTGGTTAAAAAGATTAATTGAGTGTGTGTGTGTGTGTGATTTTTTAGTTGTTAAGTCAAGTTTCAAATCTTATTGTATATTAATACTTTACTCATTTTTTTAATGTGTATGATGATATGATGTGCTAATGTTAAGGTTGATGTGTATTAGTACCAGATCCTACAATACTGACCAATTGATTGATTAATTAATGGTTATTAAATAATAATGACTCAAGAAAATAAGCCTTATGAGTTTATGAATCTGAGGTTGTTAAAAAAAGTATTCATTAAACTATAATTATAAAAATATTTCTAAATTAAACACGCCATATGTAGAAGAAGCTAAAGGTTGATAGGGTATAAACAGAAGAGTTATTAAGAAGTGAAGAAGTGATTTGATTGCTAAAAAAATACGGTTTCATGTATTGTTTAAGGTATGAGACTATTTGTCGATTTCCGGTTCCTCTAACAGTGGAACGATACTTAATATTGAGGGACATAATGATGAAATTAAGCCGTATGTTGGTTAAACAGCCTGGGAGAATGATTCTAGAGCCTAAACGATAGCTTATTAGGATCACTCACAATGCATTTTATGAGTAGTTCCTGATATATCAGCTCCATACTTTGAAGACCTCATCGTCGGAGACAGAAATTAGTGGGATAAGATATGATGTAGATAGACCTTTTCTGACACTACTTTAGATATGAGGAAGCGCGATCGCTGAAAACGCTGATTATCTTAAACACATTATTGTGGTCACAACCCTGTACAATGAACTGTATGAATACGTCCTCTGACCTTATGGACCTACATGGAATAATAAATCATAAAGGAAAGAGTGTTCTAGACAATACAGGTCGATTAGATCACCACGAAATAGAAGCCCAATCATCGCGTTAGTGTAGTAGTTGAGTTTGATTGATCTTTTAGTGTACTGTGCTTTTACCATTAGATCGATATGCGACACTAAGAAAGTTTGTAGTCTTCCATCCGTCCACCAGAAAAGCATCTCACATAAACAACATGTCTGCACTAAGAAGGACCTGACATACATCACAATGATCACCACCCAGTGATCAATCAATTGTAAATACATCTCAGTCCTATAAGAGGTTAGTCACGGCTCGGACAGCTCAGTGGTAACGTCTCTAACAGTAAAGCTGAGTGACACGGAATCGAATCTGTCAGGGAGCATCATTTACTTCAAGATTACAGGTACACCTTGCTGACGAGTGCCAAGTAGCATGAAACCTATGTCCAGGGTTTCCTGTTGACTACCTCCAACCAAGTACTTGATAAATGAGTTAGAATAACTCAATACGCATGTATGGACAATAGAAAAAGAAAAGAGCTTACAAAAGTTGGTTTCAGTACTTCAGATAAATTGTTTAAATTTGCATCAAAAAGTAATGTACAATGATGATATGCCATATTAGCACCGAATTTCGATGAAGAGCCGGATATTTTTGACATATTCTATAATTTTAAAGAAAAAAATAAAAACGATAAAGGTCCTATTCAACAATAAGTATACATTAACAGTTAGTAGTGTGACTAGGATTCAATTAATAGCTTAGTGACTTTTATCTAACTACTTTTTAATTAATTGTTAATTGCGCAATAATCAATTGTATTTAGTGTTGAATGTTATATATAGGATAGTTTTCTTGTCGTTATGTTCTCAGTCGTAAAGTAATATAACGTTAACTTCTGTGCAGGGTACTCATCTCTTAATTAGTAGACAAACATGCCTCCTAGGTCATCATTTACAACAGTTGGCGAAAGCTAATGGAGGTTTAGTCAGACATCCATCTATCCGAGGATTACAAGATTGATGAAGATAAGTGAAGTGGTCAACGTAGTTTAGTACTTAAATTTCTGATTGATCTAGACGATGACAAAGACGAATCCTGAAGCAACGTTTTGTATTCAAAGGGAGAGAAAAGTATTACAAATATAATTGGATTGTTGTTCAAGGTGAAAAGAAGACTTTGTATTTGGTTAACCTTTTTACCATACAGAACTATCATCTGGATATTCCATGTTAATAGATGAATCTTTTAGTAGATCAATCCCTGAAAAGTCCAACAAAAACAATATTTTTAGCTAAGATGAGGAAGGTGAACTATTTATTTGAACATATAAATATTCGTACAAAAGGGCACCGAATACATATGCACCACACAATGAACTTGATTTTTGTATGGGCTGTGATACTGCCCGGGTGCCGAAACCGAACCAGGTGGTTTTCTTAGGGGACCACACCCGAAGTCTAATCCACAAGGCAGTGGAGCAACGTCAAGAGATGTAGTCACATGGTAGTCGGTAACCAACAATAGGTTCATATGCCATTTGTTCCCTCAGGATCTGGGAGCTCATGTGTACCATTGGTTTGAAATGATGATTTTCCAACTCTCCTAGGTGGACTCTCCGTGTCTACCAACCCAATTAAAGCTCCGGACATTCGCTTTTCGACCTCTCAGCCTTTTAAAAAACACCTTTGCGGCGAGAAGGCAGTGAGTAGGACTTCGGTGGCAGTGGCTGTAAACGCGTGGCCATGTGAAAGCATTTTGAGAGGGAGAGCTGACTCTCCCCACCCTCGACCGTATCAGGGCATTTGGGGAGCGATTCAGATGTATGTATTTGATGGTGTTACATTTTCTGAAATAAACGATTTAATTTGAAATCTTTTATTGACTCTGTGGACAAAATGCAGCGCCTAGTTCATGTAAAAGTGGGCTTCTCAATAAATTACTCTACAAGCGCTAAATCAATTCATCCTTACACCCGCGTTAGCGATTGGCTACATTCGCAATGCTCTATTATAATCTCGTTGAATATTTTGTTAGGTTAATCTTTGACTATAGAAGCAATTAAATTTTAGCCGATGTTTTAATAGATTGGATTTACGTCGATACGTCAGTTGACTGTAAGATTCAATTTAATTCTAAGTTTACACAACAATAATATGTCCAAATAGAAAATATTTATGCAAGAGAAGATAAGCAACGTAATTACAATAAAGTCTCTCATGAAGGACACGTATGAACGATTGAAGATCTGGACGACCATTTCGTCCGAGTATGGGATTCCCCAGTAGCGCGAATCCACAAACCCGCATACAGGAACCAAACCCAGGACCTTTAATCACGCGTGTGAACGCCTAACCTTTAAGCTACTGATCAGAGACCAAGTGATGTACAAACATAATTTTAGACAATCCATGGTATCGCGAGATCATCTTCTATTGTATTTGATAGGTAACTATCTCGCAAATGGGCACTGCTGAGGAATCCAACACTAGAACGAAATGTTCGTTCACTGCTCTCAGGTTTGGAACAGCTGTCTTAGGTCAATTAGTGCTTTGAATAAAACTCAACAATCTCGATAAACCTATACTGATAATAAAGTCTTTATCGATCTTATTTGAAAACGAATAAATAGACTATACTGACTGACTAATTGAAACAGAAATATTCATCAAGTAAACAAAATCTGTGAAATATCTACTCGTTCTATTCGAAATAAATAATTTATGATCTATTCCATTAATTTTGTTTTTATAGCCCCTTCATTTCAACATTCACATTCTAACAGACATTAAACTAATCAAAGGTTAAGAATCAATCCATGTCTTTAAACACTTTCATCCAAGATAGGTTTACAATATAACGAACTGATTGATTACAAATGTAGCCAAATAAAGAACTTTAGTAAAGTTAACTACATAGTGTCTGGTAAACAAGCTATCTCAGAAATAATCAACGATTATGAAGTTCGATTGATGACTGAGACACGTGTTACGTATGCCCAACCACCGACTGCCTCGACTTGCGATGTTCAATGGTATAGGAGTAGACTGGAAGAAAGCTAGAGGCGGCCAGACCAAAACATGGCACAAGTCCATGAAGTCACTAACAAGTGGACTGAGTCATGTTGGTATGTGTAGACTACCTGGTTGGGGACCGCGAGATGATAGCAACCGATGGTTAAAGACCCTGAATGACATGGTTCAAAATCGTTTGCAATGGCGCATTCTTTGTGTTCTCCCAAATTCTAATCTCTTGATTCCTCCTTGTCTCTTTTTTCTATTTCGAAATTTATTTCGCTGGATTATACTCCTTGAATAACATCTTCAAACCCTAACGTTTCTGATTACTGCTTATACTCTTACTACCTCTACCACTACGGGATTTGAATCGACAACTGGATCTCTGTGCTAATGTGGTATGGCAACTCGAACTGATGTACGTACGTACGAAGTTCTACGCTGTTACTGACTGACTGACCGATTGATTGTAAAAGTGATATTATTTCCTCTTCCCAACTTTAAAACGCTTATCATGATGTAGAAAAGATCACTGTCGTTTAATCTCAAAATAAAATTAAAACTGCAACACTTACTTACTTGCAATGTATTTGTATTCGTTTGATTTTCTGAAATCCACAAATCATATCTATTGCCAATATGTATAGAGCAATTTGAAGGAATTAGTAATGGTTGTAAAACTGACTGTAAAAATTCCATACATTTCTGTCTATCCATATAACATCTAGGCTGTATAAATGATATGTTTAAATTACCAAGATCATGATAAACAGCACCACCACCAGAATGACGTCTAGCTAATTTCCAACCATTAGAATGTAACAATGGAATGTTCGCTTCTTTCCAAGCATTTTGAAATCGACCAATTACAATACAAGAATTACTACGCCATAATAAGATTTTTGTAAACCATGATGGTTTATCCTTTGAATATTTCAAGTGTTTCTCACTTTCATGATATAAACATTCTTCAAAAGCCAAATTTCGATAGATATCATTAGAATTTAAAATCAATATTTGACTTGATGTATTAAATGGATAAGAAGTTGTCAAGGAAACTTGATAAGATTTTATAATTCGCAATAGAATTGGTTTAATTATAACACCCATATAATTAGATATGATACGTATAGATTATTCGAACATTTCTGAGGAAAATGATTTTAAAAAAAGATTCAAACTTAGTAGTCTGTTAAAGAACATAATCTATTAGTGAACAACTACTCTTAACAATGTCAACATTAAGGTGTGACAAATAGTGGAGTAATAGAACGGAACGGCAGTCCAGTGCTTCCAGGTTTTTCATGGTAGTCTATAACTCTAATTGATACATGTCCTCAACTATTTAGAAAAAACGTACTAGCCAAACATCTAGGGAACACTGGATGACTGTTCAGCTTCACACACTCACATAGATAAACACGATAAACTAATCCTTATACGTAATTCATCCATTTAGTGATAAGCAAGCAACATACAACCTGATACATATGTGTATCGGTCGCTAAACTATATCAGCACAGAAGGAAGTTCATCAAACAACTTTTCGCACCTTAACAACTAGTATAATAATCAACACACACAGTATTCAATATAAATCAACTAAGACAAATCTAACACAATCTCAGTGACCTAACAACTGTAATTTGTCTTGTCCCAACTTATACAAAATCAAGGATATAGTCACAACTTCCTGTCAATTCCTTTCATATACTTTACATCAAAATAGAATATAGGTGACGATGAGACTTTTAAGTTTACTGGTCACATATTGCATAATTGATCGATGCATTACTCACCTACTTCTCAGTGTTCAATCAGTTTCAAACACTTTCAGTCAATATGTATTTACTTATTTCATCTACATTGGTTTATAGTTTAAACAGTTGGGATTCATTATTTAGAAAGAGAATACAATTTAAAACAAATAGCAAACATGCACAAAATTGAAGTTGTCAACGTGAAGCATGAGTGAGATGATCTATTCACTATTAGGCAAATCTCAAAAATAAGACAGAGCAAACGTTAATATTCACAAAACTCCTTCCAATAAAAAAGGAGTAATTAATTTGTTACCAACAAATTTTGGTTATTTATATGACACGAACTAAGAAAAACACTAAACTTGATAAGGAGAATAGTTTACAGTGAATAGCAGTTCAATTATTACATTCTCTTAAAGAATCGATGATAAATAAATATTTTAAGGATTAGTAGAGATTGTAGTATTTTCATAGTTGAATTCATGATGAAGAAACGGCCTTCCAGTGCTTCTATGTTTTTCTCAATGGTGGTCTAGATTAGATTGATTCATGAATTCAACTTTGAAGAAAACTAAATAGTTTGAATAGGGACGTAAACTCTCGACATTATCCTTTCCTTACGTCTGTTATCCTCATGATATCTTCATAACCGTTGGTGTCCTTTCTGAGTTTGGCGTTTAGATCTCCCATCACGATTGTCAGGTCCAGTCCTGGGCACTTCGCTGTGATCAATTGCAGCTTATCGTAAAACTGATCGCCAACGTCGTCGTTGCTGTTATTGGTGGGTGCATAAAACTCGATAGCATTCATTGTTATTCCATCCCTTTTCCTTTGGAAGAACGCTTCGATGATCCTGGATCCATCAGACTCCCATCCAATAAGTACATTTTGTGGTTCTTTGGACAGTATCAGAGCAACCCCCTGAGTGTGTTGAGCATTTTTCTCTTCGTAACTGAAGTACAGCAGCACCTCTTCCATACCTAACCTTTGCTGTCCAGCTTGGATCCAATAAGTTTCACTGATTCCAAGAACCGCAAAGTTGTATCTCCTCATTCCCGTTGCTATTTGATCAGTCCTCCCGGTTTCCCACGTTTTTCGAACATTCTATGTACCTATATTAATTGTTGCTCTGGTTGTTAGAAGGGCCATCGGCTTCGCGACTTCCGGAGAATCTCGGCTTTCATCATGAGGCGTCATAATTCCACCAACTCGGAGGGAAGAGTTCAAGTGGTTTAATTTGTTTATTCTGGTTAGCGTTTTTTTAGCAAGGTTGTTTTCTACGGATTAGGGTTGCTGACCCTATACCCAACCCACTTCCTTCACCCGGGCTTTGGATCGACAGTAACCCTAGAAGAGCTACAGGCAGAGTTCTCACCATTATAACTGAATAAATATAACGATGTAAGTAATTTGTTAACTTTTTGATTTGTGGCCAATGAAAGTAAGATGTAATTGGCCACTGAATGTGAGAAAACAGGCACTAAATTTATTATTAAATATGTGACTTCTTTCCTATTATTGATTTGTACTCTAGACTCAATGGGTGTGTTGAACTGCTAGTATTTGCACCGAATAAATCTACTTTCGTTTTCCATATTTAGCCTGTATATAACCTATCGATCGAGACTAGTAGTAGTTTAATCTTTTTTCTAGGTGGTATTATCGTGGAGAAAAGGGAATTCGTTTTTATTTGGCGTTATATTACTTCTGATTCTTCAACAACTGTTACGTTACTAATAGGTCAATTTGTAATAACCAACACAAAGTTTGACATAAATATTCTGTGATTTGTCTTCATTATTATCATTTCACTGTATAAATGTGATGTGGTAACTTGAATTGACACAAATATGTACCAGGTTATACGTTGCATATGAATAACTGATTAGTATAAATATTCATTAGTCCACGTCGATACACTAAACAAGATGAAATTAAAATGAATACCTAAGGAATTGAAAGAATTGTAGTGGCACGACCAAGGGTAAGGAGAGTCAGCTCTCCCTCTCAAAATGCTCTCAGATGCCCACGCGTATACAGCCACTGCCACAGAAGTCCTACTCACTGCCTTTTCACGGAGGGGTGTTGTTCGGCGCTTTAACCCGGTTGGTGGACACGGAGAGTCTACCTAGGGGGGGTTGGAAAACCCTCATTCCAACCCAATGATGCACATGAGTTTCGGTATCCTGAGAGAACAAATGGCGTATGAACCAATTTTCGGCCACCGGATACCATGGGATTGCATCTCCTGACTTTGCTCCACTGTCTTGTGGATCAGATCTTTAGGTCAAAGGCTCTGGGTGTGGCCCTCCATAAAACCACCCAGTTCGGTCTGGGCACCCGAGCAGTATCAAGTTCATTGTGTGGCGCATGTATTCGGTGCCCCTTTGTACCAATATGTGTTCAAATAAAAATTTAAAAAATAAAGGTTATGAATGTGAGAAAAACTAAACAGTGAGAATATGGTTCAAGAAGACGTAAAGGAAATGCATGTATGAAGGTGCATTGGGACCCAACACTAAGAGGAAGTGAGCGCACCACTGTGAGCAATCCTGAGCTGTATCACCAAACGTCTTAAAACACTGATTGTGGTTACCTCACGAAATATAAACCTTTTGATTTTCAGTATCTAAACCATTATAGCCAAATTAGGTAAATACTATAAAGAGAAGTAGCGTCTTTTTGATCATCTTCAGGAAGAATTTAAACACACTTAATATTTCATGTTATACTGACCGTGTGAAAAAGTAAAGTCGTACAGTTGGTGGATCATGGTTAGTGCAGGTAACTTATGGGGACAGAAAAACTAGTTTAACTTAGTATGGAATTCCAGATGTTATTAATTTCAAAATAACATGGTCGTTGAATATATGTAACAGTATGCTACATTCTTCATTATCTTTGATAGGATTACAAATTGAACAAAAAAATTACAATTAGTCGAAAATGGGTTCACAACCTCATCTATTGAAAAACTAGTAAGTAGTATGTCGATTAAGCAAGTTGTTTTGAAAATATTATAATCAATCTTTTAAATTCGTTCAACATGAACTTATCAGGGAAGAATATTACCCGAAGAGAGGCAACACACAAAACATTCATCGTAATTAAAATAGTCCAAACATCACAGTGAACTAAGATATAAATACATGAGAAACATTCACTAAATGATACAATGGCCGATTGATAAGAGATTGTCAATAGACAAACTAAGAAATAGAGTAGTAACTCATAATTATAGCATTCACGAGGTTCAGTTCGCACATAAGGCTTAAATATTTCTTTTTAATGGAAAAGTACAAAAGTTAACAACTATGATAGTACTGATAGCATTAAGACAACTTGAAGTCTCTTATACAATTAAAACTAACGACTATCAGCCACATAGACAAACATAACACTAAGACGCCAGGAATCATCCTGATTAATCACTAAACCACACATCTTCATTCATATTAGTCAACATACAAGTTGATTAAGATCACGAACCGATCTAAGTTACACAACCACTGATAACCTAGAAGCATTGGACAACTGTTTTTGTTCTAGTATAGAACTCCTTAGTAGTGCGCATTCATGAATCGAACCCAAAACCTTCAGTGCCAATCGTGAACGTTTAGCCTCTAGACCACTAAACTAGGACCCAATGGTAGATAAGTCTAACTTCAATCAATTCGCGAAATCGCACAACCATCTTCCATTGGTTCATGATCCCATAAAATTCAACAATCTGTACAACTCCCCATATCAATCACAAGTTTACAACTTGATTACAATTTCATCAAATAAAAACAAACTTGTTAACTACGTGAAACAGTAGAAGTTACATTACAATAAGACGAAAACATTGAAACTACTAACAAATGAAAAATAAGATTATCTGTACTATTAAGATTAGACAATAAGATTATCTTTTTATATTCACTTTCATATGACCTAGAATATTAATCAATTATTGTTAAGGGTAACAATAATCGGTTAGGTATTGGTTATTATAAACTATAACAAAGGTAAAAAGGGAAATAAATCGAATCAAGTCAATTCAATAACAAGTTGTTCAGGTACCATATATAGAAAGAATTTACATATAAATTATTATTATTATTATTGTAAATATTTATGTGTAATATGTTATATAGATTTAATGATGTTGAACTAGTTCACATGAATAATGTTACCGACGCATGTGATGTAACAATACTGGGAGGAAAAAGAAAGTAAACACTACAGAATAGTAGACTTGGGAAAATTGGTTATGATATATCATTAAGTATATTTTCAATATTTAAACAGTGTAAAACTATCATAAACTGATATTGTTTTGATAGAGAATAGAATTTAAATGCTTGCTAATATTATACTCTCCTACAGATAGTAAGGCTGAGA